AATCCCTTTACTAGGTAATAATGGCAAAGCTATTTACCGTGTTCTTATTCTTTTCCCTTTTTTTCTCCTTTTTGTAAACAAAACAAAAAAAGGATAACTCTGCGATTGATGTTTTAGCGGTGTGATTTCAAACCATCTGCTATAAAATATAGAAGCGTGAACGTCAAATCAACATAAGGAAAGCCTCTGTGCTGAAACATGAAGAAAAAAATCCCTGCATTAAGGTGTGGTTGCTTTGTAGTTTTAAACCTTCGGATCTTAAATCTTACCAATCTACCTTATTCCTATATTTTATCCCCTTTCATGTTTTTCTCGATATTCATATTTACTTTAAGTTTCCATGTCATTTCTCACTATTTTTTTTCTTTCTTTTCACATTCGTTCTTTTTCAATTTCAATCTGTTTTCTATTTTCTCGTCTCTCTCTAATTCCTCTCTTCTCTCTCTCTCCTCTTCTCTCTCTCTCTCTCTCTCTCTCTCTCTCTCTCTCTCTCTCTCTCTCCTCTTCTCTCTCTTCTCTCTCTCCCCTTCCCTCCCTCCCTTCCCCTCTCCCTCTCCCTCTCCCTCTCCCTCTCTCTCTCCTCTCTCTCTCTCTCTCTCTCTCTCCTCTCTCTCTCTCTCTCTCCTCCTCTCTTCTCTCTCTCCTCTCTGCTCTCTCATCTCTCTCTCTTCTAATCTCTCTCTCTTTTCTCTCTCTTCTCTCTTATTCATTTCTTTCTTCTCTCTCTCTCATTCATTCTCTTCTCTCTTCTCTCATTCATTCTTCTCTCTCTCTCTCATTCTTCTCTCTCTCCTCTCTTTTTCTCAATTTTCATCTTCTCTCCTCCTCTCTCTCTCTTCATTTCCATCTTGCTCTCTCTTCCTCCTCTCCTCATCATTCTCTCTCTCTCTCTCTCTCATTTCATTCCTCTCTCTCTCTCTCTCTCTCTCTTCTCTCTCTCTCTCTCTCTCTTCTCTCATTCATTCTCTCTCTACTCATCCTCTCTCATTCTTCTCTCTCTCCCTTGTCTCCTCTCTCTCTCATATTCTCTCTTCTTTGTCATGCTCTCTCTCTCTCATTCATTCTCTCTCTCTGTCTCTTCCATCTTCATTCTCTCTCTCCTCTCTCTCTTCTCTCTCTCTCCTTCTCTCTCTCTCCTCTCATCTCTTCTCTCTCTCTCTCTCTCTCTCCACTCATTCATTCTCTCTCTCTTCATCTCACTTCCTCTCTCTTCATATTCTCTCTCTCTCTCATTCCTTCTCTCTTCTCTTCTCCTTCTCTCTTCTTTCTCCTCTCTTCTTGTCTCTTCTCTCTCTCCTCCTCTCTTCTCTCTCTCTCTCTTCTCTCTCTGCTCTCTCTCTTCTCTCTTCTCTCTCTCTCTCTCCGCTCTCTCTCTCTCTCGCTCTCTCCTTCTCTGCTCATCTCTCTCTCTCTCCTCTCTTCTTCTCTCTCTCTCTCTCTCTCTTCTCTCTCTCTCTCTCTCTCTCGTCTCTCTCTTCTCTTTCTCTGCACTCTCCTCTCTCGTCTCTAATTATCTCTTCTCTCTCTTCTTATTCTCTCTCTCTTTATTCGTCTCTCCTCTCTCTTCTTATTCTCTCCTCTCTCTCTCCTCTTTATCTCTCTCTTCTCTCTCTTATTCTCTCTCCCCTTTCCTCTCTTCTCTCTCTCTTCTATTATCTCTGTCTCTGCTTATTCTTCTCTCTCTCTCTTGTCTCTCTCTCTCTCTTTCTTATTCTCTCTCTCTCTCCTCTCTCCTCTCTGTTTTCTCTCTCTTTCTTTCTCTCGTCTCAATTTCTCTCTCTCTCTCTCCTTATTTTCTCTCTTTCTCTTCTCTTTTCTCTCTCCTCTCTCCTCTCTATTCTCTCTCTCTCTCTCTATTCTCTCTCTTCTCTCTCTCATTCTCTCTCTCTCTCTCTCTCCTCTCTTCTTCTCTCTCTCTCTCTTCTCTTTCTCTCTTTCTCTGCTCTCTTCTCTCTCTCTCTCTCTCTCTCTCCTTATCTCTCTCTCCTCGAAATCGAGCCGAGGACGATGAGAGAGGAATGGAGAAGATAAGAGTAGATACTCGGTCCGATGCTTTGCCTTATATCTACAATGATACGTCATAAGCACATCTACTCACTAGCGACTGAGAGTGAGGGATACGGTTAGACTGGGAGTGCAAGTTAATGGAAAGACACTAATCGCAGAAGTCGTTCATATTCCGCGGAAAGGATAGAGGAGATGAGATAATGATATGGATCGGAATAGTTACATACTCTCTGTTACGCGTCGCATGGGAAATCTGATAGCGCTGTCGCTTAGCATCGCTTGCGATGTTGTGGATGGATGAATAGCTAATATAGTCTCAGTATTTGATCCGCCGAGATCGCTCAAGAATAATACTGGATCATATTGAAATAATAATGATATCCAAGAAACTCATCCAGTACATTCTATTAATTAGATAATACATTGGATAATATCCAGAACTAATCGTCAATAATGAATACCATCACCAATCTTGATTCCAAACCATTGAGCCCTCCATTACGGAAGAGTAATCCTTTTTGCCTATACACTTCATAAACGCGATGCCGATCTTGATCAGTAGCCTGTCGCCACTCTGGACTAAATCTCCAACTGAGCTGCCCGCCGTTATCATACGTATTACTCTCTTCCGTCCGGCCCTCTCTCTCCCATCTGCTGGTCTAAGGCCCCTCTTGGTGGTTCCGTCCCTCCTGCATCTCCTCGCTCTCTTCACTCCCTCTAGCTGCTCGTCCTCTTCTCCTACGCCGTACGGGCTCTTCGCATGCTCCGGTGCTCGACGCTGGACGTGAGCGAGGGACAGAAGGGATCGCCTTCTCTTTCTATCCCTCTGCGCTTTCTATCGCGTCTGCTCGATCTACTGGATGTCACGGTGTCCGCTCTGCTCTCGGGCATCGGCTGTGGGCTCTCCCTGCTCTCCGCGTGCTCTCTGGCTGCTCCTCGCTGGCTCCTCTCCTCGTCCTCTCCGTGGTGGCTCTCTCCTCTTCTCTCTCTCTTCTCTTCACTCTCTCTCACTCTCACTCTCTTCTTCGCGTGCTCTCGTCATTCTCGGCGCTCTCTCTGTGCAGGTTCTCTCGTGCTTCTCGTGCTGGCGTGCATACGTGCTCTCTCGTGCTCTTCTCTCGTGCGTCCGTGCTTCGCGTCGGTGAACGTCTAAACTCTAACCCTCTTGAACTCTCTCTCTCTCTCTCTCTCTCTCTCTCTTCTCTCTCTCTCTCCTCTCTCTCTCTCTCTCTCTCTCTCTCTCTCTCTCTCTCTCCTCTCCTCTCTCTCTCTCTCTCCCTCCCTCCCTCCCTCCCTCCCTCCCCCTCCCTCCCTCCCTCCCTCCCTCCTCTCCCTCTCCCTCACCACTCCTCTCCCTCACCACCTCTTCCCCCTTCCACTCTATGTCCCCCCTCCCCTCTCTCTCCACCTCCCTTTCTCCTTCCCTCCCCATCCCCATCCCCATCCCCATCCCATCCCCATCCCCATCCTCATCCTTCCTCCCTTTGCCCTTCACTCCTTTACTATACCACCCTCCTCATTTGATTGTGTGATGGAGAATGGGAGAATGTCTTGTTTAATTGAGTGACCTTGAAAGCACAGGTGGTAGACTTACAGACTCATGACGCTTATGTGAAAAAAGTAAAGCAAGAATTTTTAATGTCATATTATGGAAATCTTGTGTTGCCTTCCATCTTGTGGCTCTGTTTCATAGGTTGAAAAATATGACATCCATAGGATCACTTTTTCTGTCAGTTTACAAAGCATATGCGGTGAAAATATATATTCTTCTGTTCTCATAAAAATACCAATCTTTAGATCTGGCAATGCTGTTCTTTAATAGGATGAGGAACCATAATATTTATATGTAATAAAACTAACTGATTTTTTCTTCATTTGATTGCCTTTGTTGAATGAATGGAGCTTAATGTCATTTTTGATAATTGCTGTACTCTGCTTTGGTGTTAAGCCTTAAATGGCACCTTTGTTTATTGTTTACTGAATGTTAATAGTCAATGAAAATGGTATATTTTGTATGTTTGACTCATGATATAGATTTATTTTGATTAAAAAATGTAATGCAAATATAATTTCATATCTGATTTCAGGAGCATGAGCAGTCTTACAAATGTTTAGATGAAAACAATTATAACAGGGACGTTTGTGCAGGCTATTTTGAGAACTACAAAAAATGCAAAGAATTTTGGGTAAGTTGCTTTGTATCTTAATGCTCATTAGCTGCATCTTCTGGTGATTATAGCATGATTGACTTTTCAGGTGTGTTAGTGTGGTAGGTATAAATTTTCTGACAGTACTATATAAGTAAACTCATCCTACCAATCAATTACAGAGTAATTTGAGAGTGGAGCGGAGGAGACAAGGCATTGAACCAAACTTACCACCCCCAGAGGAACGGGAAAGGATCAAAAAGGAGTACCTGCAGCAAGTAAAAGCCAAACGACAAGCTGAATCACAAAGATAATAACAAGGTTTGAAGGCCTGGAATGTCCTACTGAGGAATCATTTCCTTTTTTGATTTTCAGTGCACTGTAAGGGATGGATTAGATGTTCAGACTATACATACATAGTGCCATAGGTGGTGGGAAATTCTGTGTTGAGATGAATAATGATGAAACTGCACATACTCCTATAAACGAGAATTATGTTAGTTTCCCCAAACTTTCATTATCAATATGATATGATGATGAAAAAGTGTAAATGCTTACCATGTGGTTGTAAGTATGTTAATATTTGACATATGTTTATTTTTCTTTGCAAAGAGTTGAAATGTGAATGTACAAATGTATATCTCAGGGTATATTTTTTGTTTCAGAAAGTATGAAAACTGCTTTTCTCCTTACAAGCTATCTGCACACAATACCTAAAAGTTTAAATTTGATAATGTATATATTCATCATATAATGGAGTCATGTGACGCTTCTACATAAATTTTTATGAGTATGAAATTAAAATTGTAGATATGCAAATAATAACTTTATAGTGTAATTAATGTT